TTTTTTCAAGCAAATATATATATATATGAGCATTAGGAACAGTTTAAATTATTACTATTTACAAAATTAATCCTTCGATAAATTTTTTTGAATAATTGAATCAATCCATTTATACATGTTAATAATTTAATAAATATAATACATCTCGAGCAAATTTATATCATTCGACATGAATCGATGGACATGATATGGATTTCGAGGTAATTTTTTGAGCAAGAAATATTTAAATCTCGATAAAAACTTATCCAGAACTCCGATTTTAGTAAAATTACAGTCAAATTGTTCAGCTCGACAAGAACTCGATGTTACCAAAATTAGTTTAATATGAGTCAAATCAAGCTTAGATCAAGTCACTAACCACTATTAGAATTTTTTTTATACGTATTTAAAAGGTTATACGTTTGTTGAATTTATCAAGCTTACAACCGAATCGAGCGTCTCAACATGAAGAATCCAACGAGTCCAATATTGTTCAATTCCGACATCATTAAGAATCTCAATTGTTCATCAAATGTTGTCTGATAAAATAAAAATCACTGGATCGTTCGATCATAGTGATTCATATTTCTTAATTAATTGCACCAAAAACACTAAATACAACCCCACCCCTCTCATGAGAGGAGGCCACGAGCTTGACAGAGAACATAGAACTTTGAGGAGTTGAAGTCAAGCACCACCTCTGTCACCGTCGATCGCTGACCGTTGTCGACCCCCACCAACTGCCGTCAATCACCGTCGATTGTCATCGACCACTGCCGACCAATGTCGACAACCACCGACTGCCGTCGAGCACCAATGTCTTCATCAACCACCACCGACCGTCAGCTGACGTTGTAAATTGGAAAATCTAGTAATCATTTCCCGTTTGTGGCACATGGGGTCTCCGTAATCATCAATATATAATGAATTTTTACATCTGGGTCAGATCCCACAATTTTTTTCTTTTATATGTCTTCTACGTAAGAACTTCTAATATCATTGTTGTTTATTTTATTTTACGTGAATCTGTGTTGAATTTTCATTCAACGCTAAGACGATAACATATTACTCTACTGTCGTAAATTTTCTAGCACGCATCAAAACATAAGAAATATAATATGAGATTTTACCATGAATTTAAATATTCAAACGAAAAATTAAAAAAAAAATGAATGAAAGAATACTAAATTTATTAAAAAAACTAATATTTCTATTCCTCTTAAAATAATCACATTCAAATAAATATATCCTATCAAACTAAAATGAATGTAAACCAAAATCCAGTAAAAATGCATAGCGTAGCTTATGGCCCATTTATGCCTTGATGTCCGCATAAAACAGTGTAGACCTATCCGCATACATTAAAACATAACCAGTCTCCATCCACCACACCTCTTCCAAATAAATAATCTCATCCAAAAACAAATCAAGCGAAAATCCATCACAGAGCATTCTTACAGGTCATGGCACCACCTACCCTGCTGCTGCTCCTCCTCCTCCTCCCCTCCACTTCCTCCTCCACCCCAACCAACCTCCTCCTCACCGGCGACATCCTCCGCAGCAACACCCAACTCTCCGCCCGCAACGCCGCCCTCAAACTCCACAACGACTGCAACCTCGCCATCTACAACCCCACCCTCCACTTCCAATCCAACACCCGCAACCTCCTCTCCACTAACTGCACCCTCACCCTCACCCACCGCGGCCAGCTCCTCATCCAAACCCCCAACCGCTCCCCCATCTGGTCTTCCTCTCCCCCCAACCACATCGGCCTCTACGCCGCCCTTCTTCGCCCCGACGGCCACCTCTCCATCTACGGCCCGTCGATCTGGTCAACCCCCCGCCTCGCCTCCCCCGCGCCGACCAACCACTCGCCGACCATTTCCCGCAACCACATCTTCTCCTCCCAGGTTCTCTACGATAACTCGAAGCTGGTGAGCGGAGAGTATTCCCTGGTTATGACGAATGATTGCAGTTTAGAGCTGGTTAGGGCATCGGAAGGGGTTGTTTGGGAGAGCGAGACGAAGGGGAAGGGGAAGAATTGCTTTCTAAGGCTCGATCAGCGCGGCCAGCTCGCAATCGTCGACGAGGGGTTGAAGATCGTGTGGGCGAGCAAAGCGGGGGATGTTGACGGGTTTTATGTGCTGGTGGTGCAGAGCGACGGCCGGGCGGCGGTTTATGGGCCGGCGATCTGGTCTACTGCTGCTTCGAGTGTTTTATATTAATTAGGGTTTTGTTTTTTGTTTTTACATTTGGACGCGGGGATTGGGAGCAGACAGTGGTTGCGGAATAGATGGGGGCTGATGTGTAATTTAGCGAAAAGTCTTCTTATCCTGTGTCTGCGGTGCTTTTTTGCATAAGTTTTAACTATTTTTTTTGATAGGTTGGCATCTCGTTGGCGTTCCTATCCAGATTTATCATCCTTTACACGTTTAGCATCACTCGGATGCATTATGGCATTTACTGTCATACCAACTAATTTATCTGTGTTTTTGTATCTAATAATATTTTATATTTTATTTTTTATTTTTTATATTTATATCACAAATAAATTTTTGTTTTTACATAAAAAAAATATTATTATTTTGACTTTTAATTGATAAATTATATATTGTTATGTATGGATGAGAATATTTTTTTCAAGCAAAAAATGTGTGGATAAGAAGACTTGTATATTGGAATGTCGAAAAAAGTTCTTGTTTTAATGGTACAAATTTATTGGTTGTTCTATTGTGCTCAACTAGAAATTAAAAAAAAAATTATATATATTATTTAAATAAAAATATATTATATTTCTATTTATTTATATGTATGTGATCATCTGGATCTTTCTTTTTATTGCATAGAAATAGTAAATTTTAGAATAAAATATTTGACATATATTTTTCTAATTAACTCAAATGAACTAATTTCAAACAAGTTGAACGTCGGCCAAGTTTGTGCTTTTGACTTTTTAACCACCTTATTACAACCCTACTCACATACACGCACACCAAGAATTGTATTTATGTGTATTTAAAAAAAGCTTATTATTTACATAGGGTAAATATATTTTTCTTTAAAAAAGTTTGTTTTTGTATATTTTTTTTTTTGGGGGGGAGTTTGAGTGGAATTAATCATAAATACATGCATACCACATGTAATATAGCTTAGCTACTATACTATGCATTTAAATTGCTCTAAAACTAATAAAATGATCATAAAAATTATTGAAAATAAATTGATATTTACTGTGTAGAGTTATGATGCATGAACACTTCTATTTAAAGAAATGTGCAGTGTTGAACTCGTATCAGATACAAACATGATTTCAACACTTATCAAACATGATATAGAAGTGTTCAATTTAAATATTGTTAAAAAAAGAGGACAAGCACATAACTAGCATGTTAGACGCATATGTCCTAAATTAATCAATTAAAAACTTCTAAAAGACATTTTTGATACAATTAAAAAATGTACATTTTTATATAGAATTGAATAAAAATTCAGATATTTAACACCTAAATTTCAATTTTTACATATAAAATTGTGTATTTCACATTTTAAAATAGAAAAATGTGTATATTGTCTTGATATGAATAATTTAAGTGGCTTAAGTATAAAAACCAAAATTTAGGTGTTATACACAAATAAATATATAAGAATTCGGTGAACATTTTGAGAACCGCATGACATAATTTTTATTTTTTTATTGTTATATGTTCATTTAAATTAAAATGTCTCATTGAAATAGTTACTAAAAATTAGCAAATATATTTTGTATATATTGTATATTTTTAATTATAATTTAAATTGATTTTAAAAGTAAAAAAAAAATAAATTATGTAAAAGTTATATCAACTAAAAAATAATATGAAACGTGCTCTTAAATTTTATTATAATGATATGTGGGATTATATTTTCAATAATAAAGATAACCGGTATTCCTATCCGTTCTTTGTCTTGTCAGGGCAAATGGTGAGATGACGGGCGGTTGATGAAAAGCAATGACACAGGTGGGCCAGCGGCGATAACATGTGTCACAGTGGCGATGTTTTGAATGCAGATCATGACATGATTCAACCATCTCAAAAAACAAAAAAATAAATTAAAAAATAAACATAAAAAAAACCCAATTTTACATTATTTAAAAATAATATTCATCAATATATATAATTTATTTTTTTGAGTCAAAACGAGTCAACAAACAAAACTTTATATGTTTAATTAGCGAGCTAAACACGAGTTATTCCCGAACAAAGAGCCACTTTGACAGCTTAGACACTAAAGAGTTTTTTGACCATTTTTTTTTTTTTCAAAAATTTTGAAGAAATAATGGCTAGAAAGAACCTAACGTAAAATAACATTGTAATAAAATTGACGTGCACAAATTGCTAGATTCCACACAACAATAAAAGAGAGAGATATAGCAGCAAAGGTTCCCTAATTTTGAAAAATAAGTATTCACCAGCTAAATCAAATCACAATTGCTAACAGAATGATGAAAGGTGATTTTGCATATCATAATCCCGTAAGTCCGACATGTGGATGATGCACAAATTACACCATAGTGTGTGTTTGACATGCGTCGTCATCCACATGTCTATTATCTGGACGTAATATTTTCCATAAAATGATACTATAGAGTGATGAACACTTTTTTTCAAATCCATTTGGGAGAGAAAAGCCAAGAGATTTCAGACAAACCGGTTCGCAAAAAAAAAAAAAAAAAGAAATGTAATTGTTCTAAAGGTGATGGAACCATAGTTAATATAATACTGAAATAAAATATGATTATAATTATAAAATCGATGTCAGCAGTTTTTTTTTTTTTATTTTTTATTTTTTTAAAGAAAACAGAAGTACACAGTTGTTAACACGGTACAAAAAGGTTTGAAAAACATAGAAATAAAAATAAAAGGCAACAAAAAAAATGAATATATATATATATAAACAGAAATATATATTGCGTGCCAAAACAATCATCATTGAAATAAGGATTTTGATAAATATTGAAACTAAGACATTACAATGTCATAGTTTTCTATAAGAGTTGTAATGTGTTAAAAACCCAAAATAAAAAATCATTGAGCCAGCCTAATTAGATTGGTTTATTAGTGTCCATTGTCACTTACAGTTAATGTTTGTTCGTGAAATTGGAGAATGTGTTGATACAATATAATACAAACAAAATTTGGTGTATAGTTTTCACGATATAAGTAAGAAAAATCATGAGAGAAGATCAGACGTCAATGATTCTAGTACAGACATTAGTTTGATATCGAGAACCGGAAACATGTATCAGCTTTGCCAACGACAAAGTCAGAGGGCGCCAACATTGATGCCAATAATATGCAACAATATTAAAAATAATAGTATACATTGATGGCATGCATCACCCTTAAAAGCTAAGACATGTGCTTACAATACGCATCAATCTTATAAACGAGGACAAGTCAAAGAGTAAGCGAGTTTTGGTATAGTCAAACAATAATGGCCAGGAGATTGCAATCGAGTGACAAAAGCTTATAATCGGGTAATTATGGTTGAGAGACTGAGTCTGATGATAATGCTCGGGGGGATTATAGTCGAGCAACAATGATCAAAAGATAATGGTAAGGTGATGGTGGTAGTTGAAGGGCCATTGTTGTGCAATGGTGGTCAAGTGACCATAGTCGATCGACGGTGTTTGGGTGATTGTTGTCAAATAAATGTAGTCAGTTGAAGATGATCAAGAGACCTAATGAAGCAACAATGGTCAAACAAAAGTGATGGCGGTTAAACAATTGTTGTTGACGATGGTTATTAGATGACTACAATCAGGTGATATGACGGTAGAAAAATAATTGCCAAGCAATGGTGATCAGACAATTGTAGCCTATTGGCAATGGAGCAACCAAAGCCAAGCACATCATTTCAATGGTGGAGATTGTGTAGCCGAGACTTGACGTTTATGACCGGGCGGCAATGGCCAGAGGGTTACAGTGATTAGGTAATAACCAACATATGGCAATGGTCAAGCAGGAGCGGTCTAATAGTGGTGGTCAACAAGCATGGTTCGATAACGACTGACAATGATGGTTCTAAAGACAACTTGAAAACGATGATGGTTGTTCGACAACAACAATCAAATGGTCATAGTTCAAAGATAGTAGTCTGATAGCAGCAAATGGACAGCTATGGTTAGACAATGACGAGTAAGCAGCAACTAACAGTGTTAGTTTGACAACGGTGGCCCGATGATATTGATTGACTGATTATGTCCAATAGCAACAATAAAAAAACATGTAGAGCTCTAGCATTCTCCATATCTTTGAGTTGTCTCCTTGAGTTCAGTCCAACCAATTTAATAGAGAATTAAGAATTTATTTATAAATTTCTGGACTGACATTTTTTATTTTTTCTAACAAAATCCTAAGAAACTCCATCAAAGAACTTGAAAGAATTCCCCTTATTTGTATAATAATATTTTGAAAGTTTGATTGCCTTAGTGATATTAAAATTAAATATTTTTTATCTTGTTCAATTTGACTAGTCAAGGCCCTCCATTTTCGCATAAGAATACAAAATACCATCTATATTAGTCTAAGCATACAAAATTTATAGATCATTAGATCCATTGACTAATGCTCCAAATTTTCATATGATATTTCAACTGCTTGATTTAGGCACATTTCAAGCATAGGATCATGATCACCTGTTATTTCAATGGCTTCATCTTATCAAAATGGATATTTCAACTATAAATTTGCCAGAATTAGTTTTCAAATAATCCTAAATTTATTTCTAAAAATTTTTAATTCTTAGTCCATGACTGATCAAATATAATTTTTGGGTGATCAAAATTAATGTGCACATACCTGTACAAACCGCAAAACGATATTAGAGAATTGCACACTTATTTTGTTTGCTCATTTTGAACATAAAAAACCGATGATACTAAAGACTATAAGCAAATATATGTACAGGCCTAACACAAAAAAATATAATTACAAAACAAAGTTAAACATCTACACAATCAAAAAATTGTGCACCTATTTTCTCAATTTTGGATAAAAAAAATGAAAGAGAGCAAAAAAGAATACAACCATCTACATCTACACTAAAATAAAATTGTTTCAAAACTCAATTTATCAAATAAATTTATAAATTTTGCAAGCAATACAGCTCTCAAACCCAACAATAATCTAGTAAGCTTGGCGTCGAACAGAAATGGATTTATATTTACCAAATGTTTCGTAGTTGGCTTATATAAAGAATTTCTTAACAAGATTGATGGTTTTGAGAAATTCTCATTTGTTCACCCAAGTATACAGTAAAATCATTGTAATTCAGATAAGGAGCAGTCAGTTCAGGTTGGGTTACCGATTTCTCATGTTGTGAGGACCTCAGTGAATAGTGACAAAACTCTCCTGTTTCATTTTCATAAGATTATTCTCTATGTTACGAAGCACAGGCCGATATCTGCATATCATGGAAAGAAAACAAATGAGATTTAAGGTGGACGGATGAGAAAAATCTGCATAATAAAAGAAAGCCAGCAAGCGATAGGAAAGACAAATACAGGCGGGTGAGATTATTGTATGCTTGAGCTGCACGTTTAAGCTCAGCTGTAAGCTTCAGGATCTCTGCCGATAGTGCCTCAGCTCTACTTTGTTCTTTAGCAAGCCGGTCCTTTAAAAAAAAAGGAAGGTGAAGTTGAATTATACGGGAACTGAATAAAACCTCAATATGTTATACACTAAACGAAATTTAAAACAGCTCACAATTTTCCAGTCAATTGAAGGAGAAGGGATTACAAAGTTTAAAACACTGGCTCAATTTCTTGTGGTTATAGCTGAAAATATTGGGAAAGCAATGATGAGTGAAGGGTCAAGAAATGATAATCAAAAAATTGATAATTAGATGACGATGGTCAGCTGATAACAATTAGGCCATCATAGTTAAGTGTTTGTGATAGCTGGTGGTTATCGTTAGCATCAAGCATCAAGCATCAAGTAGTGCTCTACAGTCCTTTAAATCTCCAAGCTTTCTTCAATATCAAGTTCAAGTCACTTTGTAAAAAGTGTAGGTTTTTTTTTTAATGACATTCCGATTATTTTAAACAAAAACTTACAACACTCCATCAGATGAAATAGTAAATAATAATTTCATTGATTGCAAATCATTTTTTAAACTTTGAGCGCCTTAAATGGCATTGCTTTTAAGTGACCTTGAGCTCGATTAAATTCCTCTCATCGAGACACCTATATTGAACATAAAAATGAAATAGTAAAAAATAATTGTACAACAAATAAAGTCACATGGTTTCCAAATGCTCTTAAAGTACTTGATTCAAGCTCATTTGGACTTTGGATTGGAACACATTTAATGTTTGCTAACTTGGAGTTCAAAAGGTCCTAAATTTAAATTCTATAAAATTTCAATTCAAATACTACATCGAGATTCAACTTGATCGAGAGCATTCTGTAATAACGTATAAATGAACTGAGCTAAAATCTGCAAAAAGCAGTCTTTTCTCCTAATGGCAGAAACCGATTTATAAAAAAGGAATCGATATTTACAAAATTAACACCATTCTTACACAAAATATACATAACAGACTAATTGAAAGATGATTTACTGTACATGGTTTGTAGCAAATTATGCCTTATTTAACATAATAAAACAATTAATAACAAAATACAATACTTGGATGGAGAGAAAATATTTTAGGCAATTACCAGAGTTTTTCCATAGTATTTAAAATCAAAAACAGATGACCTTTTTCATGTAAGAATTCCCGAAAAAATGATATAGCATTTGCTAATAAAAAAATTAACAAAAAACATCATGTTCAAGTTGATAAAAAAATAAAAATAAAAAAAAATAAAAAGAGAAAAAACTGCTTCAAACTCATGTTTTATGACATACCTTAAGAAGTTGGTTTTCAGTGACTTGTTCATGATGAATAGAAACATCTGCAATACCATCAAATCGAGCACTGTTTTCTCTTGGTTGCATGGAGTGGATTTGCTCCGACCTGAGTTTATCAAGCAGAAGACGAAGCTCTTCATTCAGCTTCAAACAGTCTTTAACCTATATTTCAGTTAAATACATATGAGTAGAACTTGAAGCCAAGAAGATGCAGAAACGGTTAAACAAACCAATCCATCTAATTTGAAAAAATTCAAAAGCAAAAATCATGCAAAAAATAACAATTCCCATCCAATCACTATGAAAGAAAAAGAAATTTTGCAATATATATAGATTTAATTAGTGGCCATCCAAAACCAGGCAGCAGTTTAATCCACTTGTGATTAGTTCATCAAGCATCAACTAAAAGATTTAATTATGGGAGATAAAGAGAAGAAGAAGAGAGGTGAGACATGTTAGTAAGATAAGGGGAAAAAGAAATATAATATTCGATGTGCTGAAAAACATGCGTGCCAAAAAAGAATTTCTAAAGTTAAAAATTTTGAAAAATCTTTTTCTTAAAATACAAAAAAGAGCACCTGGTTTTCCCACTGCACGGCAAGCCCCAATGCATCTTGGTGCGAAGCTGACAAATTAAAGTTTTCCTCAAATAGCCTTTCAATCTCAGAAGATTGTGAGTCAATCTACAAAAATCTCGCATAAAATGTCAGAAGCCACATAGAAAATTTATCTAGAGCACAGTTAAAAAGTAAAATGAATATTTACACACATACCACTTAATTCCTATGAATTTATATATCTAACACCTAAACTTTAATTTTTACATAAATGCAACATTACATATGAATGAAAATGTGTATTTCACTTTTTAAAATTTAAAATGGTGGTATTTTTTTAGTGATATGGAAAATTTGGGAGGTATAAATGTAAAAAGTAAAGTTTAGGTGTTATATATAAAAATATATAAGAATTTGGTGATGTGTATGTAAATGCCCCAAAAGAAAATTTTGATAGACACCTCTGTCAGCAGCTTCTGACGGCTACTTTCAAGCCTCTCAACCATCAAAGCCATATCATGCAATTGCTTCTCAAATTTCTCCTTGTCCTTCTGCCAAAGTAAGATACATTAGAGAGTACAACAAACATGCCGTCTGAAAACATAAACAAAGAGAGGAATTCTTCTTTTTTTGATGCTTTACAAGGTACATCTACTTATAGGAATACCACCTCCTAAGTAAGGAAATTACCTAATTGCTTATATCTTAAATAAGAAAAAAAACCTAATTGCTTATATCTTTAAATAAGGAATTGCCTAATTGCTTATAGTGATTTCCTATTATATTACATAGCTAAATATACAAAGATTTGTATAGCTGCGCAATAATCTATAAAAGGAAAAAAAAAACATTAATGTTGTAAATCAAATTGGATTTTCAACACTCCCCCTCAAGTTGGCATGAAAATACCCTTTAGAACCAACTTGCACACTAAACTGTTGAACTGTATCTTATGAAGACCTTTCGTTAGAATATCTGCAGCTTGGTTGTGGGAAAGAACGTATATCATGCAGATATCTCATTTGTCAATTTTTTTCTTTGATGATGTGTTTGTCTCTCTCTACGTGTTTTGTTCGATAATGGACATGATTGTGGGCAATGGCGATTGCAAACTTATTATCACAGTACACCTTCATTGGTGGTGGACTATGAATTTTTAACTCCTTAAAAATACTTCTGATCCATAAAACTTCACATATCCCGTGAGCCACAGATCTGAATTCAGCTTCAACACTGCTTCTTGCCACGACATCTTGCCTCCACATTACTAAGTTTTCTCCTAAAAACATACAGTACCCTGAGATTCACCTTCTATCTATAATACTCCCAGCCTAATCTGCGTCTGTAAATGTTTCTTTCTATAAGTGCTCATGTTTCTTGAATAGTGGTCTTCTTCCAAACGTTCCTTTCAGATATCTAAGGATCTGATACACAGCCTACAAGTGATGAGCGTTTGGAGAGTGCATAAACTGACTTACCATACTAACAGCGAAAGCTATATCAGGACGAGTGTGTGAAGGATATATTAGCCTTCCCACCAGTCTCTAATATTGTTCTTTATTAACACCATCTATTTTATTTGTCACTTGTAACTTTTTATTTGGTTCAATCGAGGTTTCAGCTGCTTTGCACCCAAGCATTCCGGTTTCACTGAGCAAGTCGAGTACATGCTTCAGCTGATTAATAAAAACCCCCTCCTTTGATCTAGAAAATTCAATTCCGAGAAAATACTTGACCCGCCCCAGATTTTTAACCTCAAATTATGTGGCCAATCTTTCTTTCAATATTTCAATTTCTCTAGCATCATCTCCTAAAAGTATAATATCATCGACAAAGACAATAAGTATAGTAAGTTTACTAGTTTCTGAATGTTTGTAGAACATGGTATGATAAGCTTGACTCAAAGTATATCCATACTTTTTAATCACCTTTCCGAACTTCTCAAACCAGGCGCGAGGAGATTGCTTGAGCCCATAAAAGAATTTCTCAATCTGCACACCTTATCTTCTCCAAACTTGTTCTCAAATCCTGGTGGAAGATCCATGAATAGCTCCTCTAATTCAACATTTAGAAAGACATTTTTAACGTCGAGCTGATGTAAGGATCAATCACGGTTTACTACTATGGACAGTAGAACACGAATAGAATTTATCTTGGCTACAAGAGCAAAGGTCTCTTGATAGTCAATTCCTTGAGTCTGAGTGAACCATTTCGCTACCAGTCATGTTTTATATCTTTCGACACTCCCATCAGCTTTGACTTTAACAGTGAAGACCCATTTACACCCAACAATATACTTGTTTCTTGGTAAAGTGACAGCTTCTCTGGTTTCATTTTTCAACATAGTATCCATTTCTTCCTTTACTGCTATTCTTCAATTCAGATTACTAAGTGCTTCCTGGATTGTTCTGGGTTCAAACATACTAGAAATTTTTGACCAAAAAGCTTGATGTTTGTGTGAGATTGTTTTGTAGGATAGTTATTTCGTAATAAGATGGTTGGTATTACAAGAATGTGTTCCTTTTCTAAAGGCTATAAGAAGATCCAGATTCATAATCTCAGAATCTTGAGCTTTTGTTGATGAAAAAATAAGGTCATGATAGAAAATTACATGTGTTTCTTGAGGGTCATCATTCGGTTCTTTAAATTGGGAGGGAACTAAAGATTCAATTTGAAAAATTTTCCTTTTATGGAGTCTTTTCCTAGAATAAACCAGAGGTTCTTTATTCTGCAATATTTCTCCCCGTGTTAGACAAGATAATTTATGGTGGTTTTTTACTAGGATTTTCCTGATTTTTATTACTTTCAACAACTATTTCCGACTCATTTTTATTAAGAACTTCAGGTGTATTTGGTGTTAGAACAATTATTGGTAGTGAATCAGAGATGTGTCAAAAATCATCTTCTTCATCTGTATTATACTCCCCCTGAAATGTATTTTTGTGAAAGAAAGGAATTTTTTTCATAAAGATCACATCCATACTAATGTAAGTTTTTTTTATGATAGGGTTAAACATTTGTAACCCCTTTTGTTCGAAGCATATCAAAGAAAAATGCATTTTTTAGATTTTGGATCAAATTTTGATCGAAATTTATTTGGAATATGAACAAAACATGTGCATCCAAAGATTTTTAAAGGAATATTTGAAGACATTCGTAGAATTAAAAAATGTTTGTTAGCTTGTTTAGAGGAGTTATATATAGTAAAACTCAAGTGGGCATTCGATTTATTAAATATGATGCTAAACGACGTTCCCACATAAATATTTAGGAATTTTCATTGAAGACATAATAGCCCGAGCAATCCCAAGTAAATGTCTATTTTTTCTTTCAGCAATTCCATTTTATTATGGAGTGTCACGACATTTGGATTGATGAATTATGCCTTTGTTTATTAAAAACTCTCCTAAACATTCATTAAAGTATTCAGTTCTATTGTCTGTTCTAATGATGCATATTTTTGTATCAAATTGAATTTCAATCATGTTATAAGAATCTTGAAAGAGTTTTTCAACTTCTGATTTCTTGCTTATAAGATAAACCCAACATATTTTGGTGAGATTATCAATAAAAGTCACAAAATCCCTTTTTCCAGATAATGTTTTGATTTTTGAATGCCCTCAAATATCACTATGGATCATGAAAAAAGGTTTTGAAGAATAGTATGGTTTTGGAGCAAAATTTATGCGATGACTTTCTGCCAAATAATATGTTTCACATTTAAGTAAGGTACAATTAACACCCTTAAACATATGAGGAAATAGATGTCTTAAATAAGAAAAACTTGGATGGTCTGGTCTAAGATGTTATTCCATTATTTTTTTTTAATGCAGTATTTGAACTCATACTGTCGTAAGCTTTAAACATTTTTATTACTAGGAATAGTGTCCGTAAAGTAGTAAAGTCCTCTTATCTCTTAAGCTCTCTCAATCATCATCCCCGACTTCTGATCCTGAAAGACACAAGAAGATTCATAAAAAATTACACGGCAGTTAGAATCTTTCGAAAGTTTGCTAACGGATAGAATATTACGTTTGAGTTTTGGAACATGGAGAATAGATTTAAGACATATACTCTTGGACATGTTAATGTTTTCCTTTCTAGTAATAGAAGAGAAACTACCGTCCGCAATACGAACCTTTTCATGGTCAGAACATGGCTTATATGAATAAAATAAATGGTGTAAATTTATCATATGCTTAAAAGCTTCAGAATCAATAATACAAGGGTTTAATTTTCTAACTGCATGTACCAGAGAACAATTTGGAGTACTAGTAGCCGAATTAGGGTTTAGAAGATTCAGGAGTTGATTGATTTGCTCCCTTGTTAAATGGTTGATTTGTTCAGCAACAGTGTCTGCAGTAGGTGGCTGGTGCTTGTTCCATGGCTTCCAATCTGCAGGTTTCTCGTGGAGATACCAGCAGATTTTTCTAGTGTATCGTGACCTGTTGCAATGATCACACCACACCCAGGGTTTCTCCTCTTTCTTTTGTGGATGTGAAGCATTCCGCTTGCTCATATGAACTTCAGAATTGAATGCCGAAGTCTCAGGTATGCGGGTAGGAGTGGATTTCTTGTTAAACATTACTCTTTTTCAAGTTTCCTTGCGCGAACTTCCAAGAAAGCCACATGGACTTAAGGAAGGGGACTTCTCCCAATAATTCTACCCCTTACCTCGTCAAAATCCTCATTAAGACCAGCAAGAAATTTAAAATTTTTATTTGCATCAACAATGGTCTTATACCTACTAGCATCATCAGAACACTTCCACTCTTGATCATTAAACAAGTCTAGGTTGTCATATTCTCTTGAAAGAATTAAAATATTTTGTGACAAAATCTTACCTTGACGAATATAACCAAGCTTCAGGGAAAGTTCATAAACCTGTGATTGATCACCCATATCCGAATACATTATAGCCACATTCTCCCAGAGTTCTTTGGCAGTAGAGTAACACATGTAGTTTGCGCCTATCTCCTCTTTCATAGAGTTCACCAGTCAGGTCATTATCATGGAATTTTATGCATCCCAGGTTGCGTGGGATGGATCTGTAGTGGTTGGCTCACAAACTTTCTTTGTTATGTAGTCTATCTTCCCTCTTCCTCTAATGTACATCCTCACCGATTGAGACTAGCGTAGAAAATTGTCACCATTGAGCCGGATTGTGGTGATCTGGACTGGATGATTTTCGGTGGATTTGAGGAGAGTGGTGCGGAAACAAACGACAGGATGGAGGGCTGAGTAGAGGTAGCAGAGTCATTTGTACTTTCAGACATGATAAAAGAAAGGGACGACGCGTTTTCTCACGGCTGAACAAGGAGAGGCTAGGGTTTTCCAAGAATTTTATTCCTGCTCTGATACCATGAAAACATAAACAACGAGAGAAAAATACTTTCTTCTTTTTTTTATGCTTTATAAGGTACATCTACTTATAGGAATACCACCTCTTAAATAAAGAAATTACCTAATTGCTTATATCTTAAATAAGAAAATTACCTAATTGCTTATATCTTTAAATAAGAAAATTACCTAATTACTTACAAGTATTCCC